TGAAACAATTTCACAGGACCTGCAAGACAGAGCCACCAGGTACATGGTCAAGCTTCCCACCTTGGACCATCTCCCGAACTGCCTTTTATTGTGCCATCTAGTGAGGAATGAATATTATGACAGTTGTGACTTTTGGGATTGTTGATTTTAACTTAAGTTATATTTACTTGTGATGTCGATTTTAAATGTTGTGACCCGTCCTGAGCCCTACTATGTAGGAAAGTCCAATTTAATAAATAAATAAAGAGACAGAATTCACTTTCCAGTTCTTCAACAGTCATATGTGATTCTACCCCCTTAGTTATGATCCTGTTGGCTTTGGTTTTCTCAATCATAGCAACTTTTCAGTTCATAGTGGGAACCGATTAGGGATGGGCATGAACCGGGAAGCCTTGCAGCTCCACTGCCGAGCCCCATGAGGGGCCCAGCGGTGGACCTGCAAGGCCGATGGGAGTGCAAGGAAGCCTTGCAAAGGCCCTCCCTGGCCCCAGGCAGACAGCGGTGGGGAGAGGCAGGGAGGAAGCAACTTACCCTCCCTCTTCTCCTGCCTCCTCCTGGCTGAATGAGGGCCGGAAGCGGGGTGGCCGGAAGCAGGGGGCGGGGCTTCATCATGTGCCCCGCCCCTGTACCTCACCCGGGGGAACTGCGATCCCCCGCAATCCCCCCTGAAATGACCTCTGTATACAATCTGCTCCCATAGAGCAGAGTGGGAGCTCTGTGGTTGGCTCCCAGAGCTGCCAATCAAGCCACGGACAACTGCTCTCCACAAGTCCACCCCCAGCATTGCCTAGGAATTGACTGAATCAGTGCTAGGCTGTCTGGAGAACGAACTGCTCTAACGAATCTCCATGGAAAAAAGGCAATTCGTTTTTGGATTAAGCAATGATATGACCAAATGAACTGGTTCGAAACAAACCACGAACCGGCCTGGTTCATACACCATGGTTCATTTTTCAGTTTGTGCTCATCCCTAGAACTGATATTACTACAGGGATGAAGCAGCTGTTGGGTTTCAAGTATCAGTGTCTCTTGCTTCCTATAGCATAAAATCCACTTATTTCTTCAGTGGTTTTTAAAGAAAGCAAATTAAGGCCCCGGTCACACAGGCTGGATAGCGTGTGTGTGTGGGGGGAAGGCATGGCTGTTTGCCCCGGAGTGAACTACCGCGTGGCAGCCGGATCAGACGTTCCGCCCGACGTCCCGCCGACGTCCCGTGGTTGGGGGGAGGTGCCGATCATACCTCACTCCTGCGGCACGGCAAAGAAGCAGCGCCGCGGGGGTTGTGTTGGTTTTTTTAACCCAAGTGTTCGCATGCACTGTTGGGTGCTTGTGCGCACCAATGGAGACTTGACAAAAAAACCTTTTCGCGATGGGACATGGGCGGGCGCCGAATGCCATGAGCTAACACCAGAAACGTGATCTGACGCCCGCTCTTGCCCCGCGGTTTCCGGAAACTAGTACCTCGGAGGTTCTAGTTTTTTACCCCGCATCTTCAGAGTGAAGCCTTGGGTGAGCCACGGGAGCTCTACGCTTCCCAGATGTGTTGGTGAGATTGCGCCCGGAAAATCCGCCTATCTTCCGTCTCTCTAGCGTGCCTAATGCTCCGTGTGACCGGAGCCTAAGTATGTTTTCACATCAAAGGTAATATG